ATGCGCATATATGTATCAAAGCATCGTTCACCCAATTACAAAATGGGCTCTCAGAGATGGTAAGCCACACACAAAGCACAACTCGTTTTTTTTTCCATAACTTTCTCTGCAAATAATGTGAGTACACATCAAAAGTCTCACTAATCTGTGTAATGTACTTCGCAAACTTCAATGCAAATTCCACGAAAGAAATGCACAAAAGACACTAAAAAATTTATGGGAAAATCCGCCATCAGTTCATTTTGTTGTTGCAATTGCCATTCAATTTGGCGAGACTTTTCTTTACCATCCGAACAATATTTGATTGCCATTTTAATGTATTCAAACATATTATTATAGCATCGAAATAGTTTATGATGAAGCCGTACGTACAGTTCGTGTGTGTGTGTGTGTGTGTGTGTGAATATGCCATGTTCAATGTGTGGCTGAACGAGAGGGAAAAAAAAGAAAGCAAGTGAATAACCTAATAAATTTGTAGCATGCCTTCGCCGTATTTTTAATTATATCCCAAATTGCGAGTCATGTTAAACAGTGTACAAAATTCCGTTGTCATATTGCACGTCATTAATATTGATTAAGCTTCAAGTGAATTGAATTAAACGCCCTGGTTTGAGATCTATTTAACCGTTTTCGTTATTAAATCATAATTTCAGTGCGTTTCTCGCCTCCGCCACCCGAGTCCGATCAGAATGTCGACATTTTTTCCCCATTCTGACGTCAATTTCAGATTTAATAATTTATCGATGGCAAACGGTTTATTTGGTTGTGATAAAATGAAGTTCAATCAATTTATGTGAAATTGGATGAAGAAAAAATTGTAACGACTGCGAGACAGCTCCAGCGAAATCTGAGCATTGAACAGACAATAAATCAACACAATGGAATCGGAACACGAAAATTCAATTATAAACAGTTGTTGTTGCGAGCGACTATTGAAATCTTTGGAAATCAAGCTTTGGATGCTTCGGCTGAGCTCACTCACAAAATGGTGAAGACAGATCAAATCGATTGATATGAATCAAACAAAACAAAAAATCGCAATTGAACGAAAGCGAAACGAGAGAAAAGAGAAAAAAAAAACATTACTGAATTCGTTTTTGATGGGTGAATTTATGTGCGTTTCAAATGCAGATACAATCGAACTGGCGATGTAGAAAAGAATTAGATAAATTTTTGAAAAAATACAAATTTTCTTTTCCAACACAATCGACCAAAAAATAACATTACAAAATGGCTTCATCTGGAATTATGGAATAATAATTCGAACGAAATTACGGTGCAAATGGTGAAATAATCGAAAAACTGAAAGCGTTTCAGCTAATGATGGCTGGCACATACTTACACGAAAATAGTCACAAAGAAATGAGATAAAATCACAATTTTTATTTTTTTCAGCAAAAACGAGTCTTGCTTACTTGACCATAATTAAATTTTCGATTGAATTGCAAAATGACGATTTCATCTCATTAATTTTGATGATCGACGCTTCCATATGTTGTTTCTTTCCCCGATTATCCGCTTATGGCTCATGAAAGTAGGGAAAAAACCAATTTCACACTTCTCGGTTATTGTGCTTCATGGACAAACTTGAAAATCATAAGGTTCTCTTATTTCGATGTTGTGTATTTTTCACAATGAAAACTTGAAGAGAAAAGGTTCGAATGGAATAACTGAATGGCAGTCATTTGTGCGATAATCTTGAAATAATAATCGGATTTGTGCAGGTTTTTATTGGACAAAACAATTTTCAGAATTTTCCATTTGTTGCCAAAGCGAAGAGAGTTCGCCATTTTTATACATTTCGCCCAGAAAAATCCAAAAATGCGATAATAATGCGTTTTGTTATAGTTTTTGATCTGCTTTTCCACCAAATGGTGGCACCGAAGCTGAAAGAAATCTAATAAGATGTGAATTCGTTTTCATTTGCGGTAGCATGACTGTATGGCTGTCATTGCCATGAGCTCATTTGCTGCAGGGCATAATGCATGTCGCATACAGACAGTAATAAGGTTTTGGTTTGGTTCGTTGAAGCACGCGATTGTAAATCATAAATTGCACATCGCATTGAAGTAACGTCACAAAATAAACAGAATGTCGGGTGGATAGAGAACGTCATTGTTTGAGTTTCGAATTACATTTGCCATTGTCACTGTCATTTCGCAATGATTCTATTTTTCATCGCATGATTTAGATATAGTGTGTTATTTTGTTGATTTGTCGCATGTTCACTTGCATCTCACATTCTCTGGTTCGAGCACTTTCTCATCAAAATCGAATAAAACAAGCGAAGTGAAATGTTGTCAGTTTGGAAATCGACAAGCGAAAGAGAAAACACTGCATATTACATCAGGCTGCAAGACATTGTGTACATATTTTCGATATTCTTCAGAAAACTTTATGCGACTTTTGGCTGCAGATGCCGGCGGTCAGTTTTTTTTTTCGTTGATGAAAAGAAAATGGATTATTAAAGCGAACAAAATGAAAATCATTCGTTTTTATTGGCTTCAAATTTCGCAACTCGACCAAAATATAACTTTCAAAGGAAATAGTGCTTCTATAGAACGATGGAAATCAAGCGGACGCAAACCCATAAAATCCATATTCATCTAATGAATACGGTGCATTTTGACCGAGAGAAAAACTCAGTTTACAACTTTTTCGCGAATTTCGTAAAATAATGGCTTCAACCAATTGAATCGTAAAACTGCTTTAAATCAACAAAAAAGGTTCATTAGGCTATTTTTACGATTGGAGTTTATCACTACTGTTACATCATGAACAATAAATAAATGGAACCCCATCTAGATCTAGGCGTTTTTCTATACATTTCATTGGATAATGGACAAGCTGATGAATAAGTGATGATAATACATCTTTGTAAGATATAAACTACTTTTTGGTCCACTGACGTCACCATAGCCATACACCATTGATGAAATAGCGAACCAATCATTCTTGAGGAAAAGGTAAGCTGAATTGCCAATATTCTTGATGCTGTGTTATTTTGTAGCCCTAATTAATCAATATCTCTACACCTGCTATAAAACACCACCAGCTCAGATCGACGAAAAATCATCCATTGAATTATTGTTTCCTATGGCAGCTGATGAAATTTACATTCACAAAGTGAAACTGATAAAGTAACTTGCCAATTCGATGCGAATGAACTCGATTTCGAAGGAAGTCGAGAAGGTCACGAAATTGATTACTTCACTTGAATTATCTTGAGTTATGTATACATAGAAGAAGGGAGTTGAGTCTTTGATAGAATATAGTAATGCTGCCAATCACGTTAAAGTCGTTGACACTGTGATTCAATTTGTTGCAAAAAGAAAAAAAATTCATGCAATTGCATCGAACAGACATATTCATGAGATGCAAAAATGCTTTGAGAATGGTTTCTCCCATGCAAATGGGGTAAATCAAGATCTTGTGGGTCACCAACAATCATTTATGTGCTTTGTATCAATTCTGTTTAATCTCTAGTATTCACTCAAAATAATTTATATGCGTGAACAGACCTCACCGCATATTTGAAAATTGTTTACCTTCTTGTTTTTCTGAAGCGGTTGCGGTTGTTGTTTTTGTTGCTGTTTTAGTCGCAACTTTATTTCAATGAATATGTGTCTTTATGTAATAGATGGCAAGTTTGTATGTTGTACGCAATGGAATGGTTTATATGCTTGTGACGGTCAATAAATTAACGGTTTCATTCATTCACTCATTCAATTTTGAATGGGCTATTGTTCATGCGCGTCGCTAAAATGATTAATAGCCGATGTCAGCTTGTGGAAAAAAATGACTTCGAGCGAAATCAGATTTTGCATTCTACGTTATTGTTAAGTAATAACTTCAGATGGGCTTCTGTTGGCGAATTGTTCGAGAATATATTCATCTCGAAGGTTTCTTGAATCGCAAAAATGATTGAAATACCTCATTTGCCACGGACAGAAATGGCATTGCGAAAGAGAATATCTAAGACGATGCGAAAAATATTATACTTTGTCGATTCCAACAAATGCATATTGAGGTCCATTGGCGACGGAGTAAAACGAAAATCGTTATTTAAAAAAAAAAAATTGAACATCCTAAAATTTGACTGAAGAACGAGAAAAACCAACCCGTCGTAAAGTGTGCAAAAATATTCGTGGAAGGAGGAATAGCAACTTAAAAATTCGTTATTCATCTCGACGCGAAAAACATTTTGGTCATGAAGAATGGAAACAATTATCTTTTAATGGCCATATCTTGAAAACACGAACTTCGATAGATGTGTAATTTATGTGGCGGCGAACCAAATGAAAGCGAAACTTGTCGAGCCGGTTTTGTTTTTTTTTTTCACATATAGCATCGCACAGTAATATAAATGTCGCTTGACATAAACAACACGTAAATCGAGTGAACGAGGCGCAATTCATTTCTTTTTATTGGATCTATTTTGACTATAAAAGCTTTGAACATAATGACTGAGAAGAAAACGATGCAGAAAATATAAGGCAAATCCATATATTACATGTGCATTTCATGCATAATTGCCATGATAATAAATGGTAAAGACAGATAGATATCTTTCGTCTGGGAAAACAATAATAGCAATGCTTTTACTTTAACTTTCAACTTAACCCAATCGACAAGATCGCACACATTTTTTTTTTTCAACTTTTTCTTCTTTTCAGCATTTTCGAGTCGGTTTTTTCCTTCAATTTCCATTTTATTCACAAGGCAAGATTCAAACATGATACTAGAATGAATAGCTGGCGTTGCTATTGAAAGAGTGTTCGAGATAAGTGCATGAAAAAAAAATATATCGGTAATGAGTACACAATAAATCACATTCATTAATTACTTTCTTTTTTGATTTCCATTTCAACTTCTCTTTATTCAATTTGTATTTTTTTTAGCCAATTTCATATGTGCCAATAGGCGGTGATCGGGTGAAATCGCAGCTCGTGCAACTGAAAGCAATTTACAAAAAACCCAAACGATTCATCGCTACTTACCAATAATTGTTGTTAAACAGAGTGCGGCGACAACGGCAAGAATCTTATTCATCATGATGAACGTATTGATTTCTGGTATGTGAGATCACGACCAAACACTTAACTTTCAATTACTCAGTCGTTTGTTGTTGTTTTTATTTCTGCATAAAAATCTCTCTGCGGTGCGAAAAATGTTCCACGATACAAATTGTCTGTAATTAAAATTCTTTTGGGCTCATCGGAATCCGTTCCGTTGCCTTTGTTCTTCAGTTGAATATGTTGTTTTCCTTGAATAATATTCTCTGAAGTAAATATTTCTTTTTCGGTTTTGAAGGAATTTGTGCTATCAGATACAAATCGTTATTTCATCAAAGAAAAACCGCACACTTTTAATCGATTCGTGCGTTCGACAACGAAATGTGCCTTTAAATATTTACTTTCTTTTAATACAACCGGTTTCGCGACGTATTTTTATTTTTTACTTAATCAGCTTTAGGAGAAGCAACAACTTATTGCATAATAAAAAGAAAGGTTTGTTTCAATCACTCGATTATGTTATGTGAATAACAAATAGAAATATAAAAAATTGGTGTCCACTCGAATAAACAGAAAGATTGCTTGATCACGATGTTGTACTTTTAGCTAAATTAAACTATGCCTTCACTTTTTCACAGGTCTGACTCTCAACGTCTTTTCCGTTGAACGATCAATGGTGCACTGATCAAAAACGAAGAAACGATCACACTTCTTTCTTGCAAAACATCACAGACAGTAGTAGACCTCCATGTGATCTTTTTTTTTGCTTTTCACTTACCACTTGCTTCATGTCGCATAATTTAACTTCTTTTACGGCGTAGACTGGGGAAATGTATCACAGTGTGTGCGGGCGCCCCACCTTCATGAACCTTCTGCACTTTATTTCTTCGGGCCAAATTATATTATTAACATTCTTGAATTATAGTGTAATTGCCACTAAAGTGTAACGATAATTAAAATTGACCTATACCTACGCGATTCGTAGCGGATTTTTTCATAACAGTAAAATATTGTAATGTACCGAGCCTACGGTTATTTTCGATAAATGCTAAATCCATTTATTTTTGTTTGAAAATGCTAAATCTGTTCCCAAAGAAGAATTTTGACTTGGTCCTACATCAAGAAGTTCTAGTTTTTGTGCTATTTTAGTTACTAAACTTTAGTATACCATTAGATAAATTCCCAAGATAATAAAATGATCGTTCGCATATTCCACAAAACTGCTTCGACGAGAAGAAAAATATAATTGTTATCAAAAAATATTTAAAAAGAGAAAAAAAATTCAAAGTGTAGTACAATTTGTCTTCTAACAGCACATTCAGCAGAAAAGTTTATTTTTAAAGCTTTTGAAGCATTCAGCAGATAGACTTTTGTCAAGTGAATGCTTTAACAACGCCATCTGTGATAACAAAACTCAACATAGTATACTTCCCCTCTTTAATTTGAAAATGGTCATCTACGTACAGTACAATCTCGGAAAAATTGCCTCACACAAAAGTTAATTGTCCAGAAATGTTATTCGAATTTTAACGAATTATGAAAATTGTTCGACAAAGGGAGTATTAAACCAGGTTTTTTTGAAACCATCCAGAAAAGCTGTTCAGTGTTCACCTCTGGAACATTACGATTAACTTTTTCGAGATTCCACTGTATTAATACATTGTTTGAGACGGTGTCTAGGAAGAGATAAATGCAATAATAAGACATTATTCATTCAATTTGAGAAATATCATTTCTTTTTATTAATAAGTATGCATTTAATCATAATATATTTAACTTTTTGTCTGTTTGTTTCCATGAAATTGATTCGAACAACAATCTAAACCTAAAATACGCAGAAAATTAAGAGGACAATTTGAAATGAATTTTCTTAGAGAAAACCAATTTTTTCTTCGTTCGAATAATATAAAGAAAAAAAAAATGTTGAAATTACAAATAATCGCATTTGATTTGTTTGTTTTATAGACGAACTCAATCGTTTTGTTGTATTAAATGCTACAATTTTATATGTGAAAAAAAAGGAATAAAAGGGTAGGAAGGGGTTGGATGTGGTGGCATAAAGAATAAATCAATCAATTTATACAAACAACATTCAATAAATGGATTCTATTTCCGTTCGGATTCAACGATATTGAGCTCTTTGTATTTTCAGTTACAACTTCTGTCATTGTGGTTCTAATAGTTTGGGTTGTTATGTCTCATTTTAACTACTATTTATATATTTCTAACATTATTCAATAGAGTTTCTGCCTTCAAATTTGTTCATAATAATTACACAATTTAATTAGCTGATTTGTTAACAGAAGGGTTTCTAGTACATGTCTGAACTGTTGCGGGATATTCTGCACATAAGAATAAGTAAGCACAACGCTGCTTTTGATCGCATCAGAGAAGAAAAAAAAATGTGCCCATCAAATATTTTTTTTTGTTAAAAACTAATTTGTTCCTAAACACATTTAATTTCAGTTGTTTTTAGTTTATTTTTTCTTCAAATCTGTTCATCTGATCTCTTGATTTCGATTCTGCTAATTGTCTACTGGTTCTCCTAGTGTGTGAAAATTCATGCTGTTGTCATCGGAACGCCACGAAAGAATCAAAGCAAATTTGCTGTTTATTCGTTAGACATGCTGTAGTAGCTAGTGGCGATCCGCCACACCATCCAATTTCAATAACTTTAGATTCTTATATTCAAAATAATCACGATTAAAAAAAATGTATATTTTTACAAAAAAAAATTCATTCCGAAAACAGTACAACGATTACATCTGTGACGGATACTTTGTTCTGGGATTTTGAATACAGAGAAACAGTGAGTTAGTCTCCAGTGTGAAAATGACAACAGAGAGAAGGATTCCACTCGATTGATACGACATTGAAATCGAAACGAAATTTGGGTCAGATAAAAACTAGAAAATCGAAATCGAACACGGTAAAATTGTATTTGAAACGAATAAAAAGAAAGAACACTTTTTTCGAAATAATACCGAATAAAATTTAAGTAGTTCAATTATTTAGTCACAATCAATTGATTAGAGTGTGTGTGTGTGTGTGTTTCGAGGTTATTAACAGTGCATTTCGGGCTAATTTATTATATACATATTGTTCATTTGTCCGCTAATTTTATGGATTTCAATTAATGTCTTTCATGCAAAATATGCATGTTCTCGGCCATTGTGTTCCTTCGATTGCCAAAAGAAATTGAGAACATGCAATTTCACTTCTCTACTTAGTTTTCATTTTATCATCGAACTTATTACATAATATATATATACTTTTCTAAAGACCATCAACGAAAGTTGAAACGATTGAGCTTTTGTCGATACCGGTCGATTCAACATGCATATCTCTTTGACATTAGTTTTTTTTTTCTTCTGTTAAATTTCATTCTAATTTTTCTTTTCTTTTTTGATTCTCACTTATATTTGCACAGTTCGGACTAAATTTTAAGTTCTTGTTACTTGAAGAAAAAAAAAACAGAACAAATCATAGTTTTTTCTTCTTGATTCTTATTAAATATAATCATAATTTAAATTGAACCATTCAATTCAATTGAGTGTTTACAATAATTCAGTTATTTTCTTGTTTTAATTGCCTATAAACAAACGAACGAAATATAATTTCTTGTTTTTCTTCTCTTTATAAGTACATATATAAAGTGTTGAATAGCACAAAAGACAAAAGAGATTGATGAGCGCTGCAAATTCGACGACAATCATTCGTAAAAATAAACGATCACGTTAACGCTCTCTAATACGTATATTATTGCTCTAATGAGTTATGGCCTTGTGTGTTGTGCCAATGTTTCGATTTTAAAATCCATCTCAATTCATTCTTCGTATTCAAATAAATATATTGGCTTTTAGTTCTGTGTTATTTTGTTGTTGTTGTTATAGTCATGCTGTACAATGTTTGTGAACTTGAAGGATTCTGCTTCGATCATGCATTGCGTTTCCTTTATTGCGACCGAATTTAATTGCTATGCACCCACCCAGCTGGCACCCACTGTGGTTCGCGCTCCAACGAATTGATTTCGGCTAACAGCTGGTGATATGCACGTTCAGTGTCATTGTTTATTATAATCATATCGAACAAATGGCCCCATCGAGCTTCCATATCACGTGCTGTTGCAATGATCTCCTTCAAATCTTCATCCTAATCGAACGTGAGAAAAAAAAAGACTTCAGTTGCGAATTTCATTTGTTGGATATTTCAGTGGGAATTTACCTTATATGGCTCATGATTGCGTTCTTTCTTTTGTCGCAACTTTTCCAGACTAGGCGGTGCCACTAGTACGACGTATGGCTTCAAATCGCTTGCTCGAAGCAATTTCAAACTTTGCGGATGTAAATTCAATACACAAATCTTACCACTAGACACAACAGTACGTATTGCTTCAAGGGACGTGCCTGAAAATGTAATACAAAACATAATGAGAGTTGTGACTTTTGTCAATGCTATAACAGATCCAAATTTAACTTACCGTAATAGGCTTTTTCATATTCTCCATGTTCTACAAACTTACGAGCTAGAATATCGGCTTCGAATTGTTGACGCGATATAAAATGATAATCCTTGCCAAGTACTTCTCCATCGCGACGCATTCGAGATGTATCTACAAGTTTGCAGAGAAAAAAAAGAAGACGACGATTGATTAGAAAATGGGGCATAACAACGAAAATTCACTTTGGCTATTCCGAAATTGGTCATGTGTGAAAATACTCACGTGGCACAGCTGCTGCAAATCGATCTGAATCGGCCATCAGTCTTTGTCTTAGTTCGTGACGTCCAATATTTGGCGGGCCGATTAAAACAATCGGTCGCTTATGTGATGCACGCGGATAGTATAAAGCTACTTCTTCATATGTGAGTATTTCTTCTGGATCAGGTTCATCTGGTGTGGTTGTGGCATACAATGGGTAGCCAGCTTCGCTGCTAGTCTTCTTCTTCTTCTTGCGTCCTTTGCGTGCGCAAAGCAATGTCGATCCCTTCGCTCCGTCTTTTCCCCGGTTACGTAGTAGGCCAGCTTCACCAGCGATAGCCAACTTCATGGATTCACGTTGGTGTTGGAACGATTGGCTCGGTATTAAGCCGGCCAGTGTTTGATCTTCTTCGCCTTCTCGATACGCCTGCCACCAGTTTGGATCGTCGCGCGATATAACATGTAAAACGTCACCTTTCTGAAAACTAATGCCCAACTCGCGGCACGGTATATACAAATCGTCCTCTGGATCGTAGTCAAAATGTGCCCGAACATGAAGCACCGGTGGATCACGGCCATAGCCACCGATCGGAGGCTGACATGCGGGAACAATCAGAAAAACTAATGTTCCAGTCATGGCACTTAACAGATCATAGACATCGTTAACCGACTTTCCTCGCATTCCGATGCCATTCACTTCCAGTATTTCATCGCCTTCATGAAGCAATCCGGATTTTTCGGCCACTCCGCCCCGTACAATACGACCTATTACAACAGCTTCACCTTCATTTCGAACGGTAGCACCAAGTGGTTCAGCTGATTTCTCAATTTTTATGATTCGAATATGGTCTTGATTGTCGTGTAAAACACCTAATGTTAAGTCTCGCTGTAGCTGTTGCTGTAACCATAAAAAAGCAACGGATCGTTAAAAAGTGCATTTTTTTCTCGGGTGAAATTAATGTCACTCCAAGGATATGAAAAAAATTTATGGACTTACATTCAATACGTTGTTATTGGCGATATTTTGATTGGAAACGGTGTCGGATCCATCAGTTGGTACATAGACGGATGGGCCAGGTGTGTTTCGATCCGTATCGTTGGCAATTAAATCATGCGCTTCAAGCAATCCTTCCATTTCGTAGGTCGATTGTAAATTGCAAAATTCGATGGCATCTGGTGAACTAGACTGAGCCAACAGCTCGACACACTGCACATTTTGATTAAATCAGGATTTCGAATGGGTTGGAGAAAAAAGAATAAAAAAAAAGAATTTATGCGTCAATAAAATGCAACGAAGAAGCAACAAAAAAAAAGATGATGACAAAATGAATGACTCACTTCTTTCGCCAATGCTTTGGCATCCGCGCGAATGGCATTTTGTGTACGTGGCCGACGGCGTTGCAGAACGGCGCTTCGTATGTGAAGCGCTCGTGCGACGACTGGTCCTAACAATAAACCTTGAACACTTGTCACACGTCCTGCCAACGAAGCCAAACCATGTTTATTTAGTTGGCCTTGAAGCTGTTGCAATGCTGCCACCAGTTCATTGTAGCCTATTTGAATAGAGAACCAAGGAAAACCAAATTCAATAAAAAAAATGAAATGCTTGACATGCACAAGAGAAAAAAAAAAACAAAATGAAATCCACAAATTCAATCATTTCCGATGATCTGTCACACCATAAAAAGGAAAAATACCGTATTCCATTTCGATTTCCATGCGAAAGTAGTTGGAAAGCCATACTTGTATTCAAACCGATTTTATTGCGTTCGTTCATATCATCATTTAAATAGACTTTGAGCATACACATGAGCGAGTTAGTTGGTTGGTTGGGTGACATGGGAAAAATCGAGTGTAGATGCAAAACAATTTAATATTGCACATAAATAATAGTCAAGTGGGGCGGGTGAGTATTACGGGAGCGCGCTGTCACATAAAACGTTCAATTGTCAGTGATATGGCGAGCAACGACAACGACAAAGACGACGTCGACGATGCGATAGTGCGGGAAAACACCAATAAAAATGCATATCAAATTAAATTCAGCACGTAAATTCAGCTGGGATCGTGTCAAAGGAAAACGCAATAAACATAAATTTTCATATAACTTTTTCTTGTGCCGAATGATGAATACATATTTCATTGTGTTTTATCAACAATGTTTCTCATCAATGTCTTTCCCATACTGAATCTTTGTTTCCGCTCTGCTTTTTTATGATTCACTCTTTCCATGTTATGTTTTTGTGTGTGTGTGTGTGTCGAGCGAAAAGTGCTTGAAAATTTAAAAATATTGTCATCACTGTTTCCATTTCGAATAAAAGTTGTGTTGTTGTTTTTTTTTATTTTCCTCCTCAGAATAGACGACTGTAACTTATTGTCATAGACGTATGGAATGTATTTATACAGTGAGTGTGTGGCACGTGCTTGTTTACACTTGTAAAAAAATAAAATAATGAACACAAAACGGATATCCTCTTCTGTATATTTTCCCTCTCACTGCACCTCGTTAACTGTATATAACGAGCACAATTCAATGCCAGTTAATTCAGTAACGAAAATATATTTGTTCAGCTGTCAGAATTTAGTGCCGTTCTCCGAACGGAACGCAAAAAATTCCTCCGCAAAAGCAGAAAATACGAAATGAACAATTGGCATAACGCTCGACAACGGCAGTCAAAATGTGAAAAACATTTAATTACAGAAAGGCGATCGTAGTTTCAAGTGTTCGCTCACGCTCTTTGAGTCCATTGAAAAATCGATGCTTTAAGTGACGGCAAATAAAACACAATGAAGACGAGAAGAAGGAACAGGCCAAAGGGCACTCGTTCACTTGTTGAAAAATTACAAAGAAAACACTCTTCTTCGTCTGGCTAAATGATGTGGTTAATTAACACTCGCAAACTCTATGTGGTGGAAACCAATAAAAGTGAGATGGAGCAGGAAAAAAAATAATGGAAATGGGTAATTTTTGAATTAGCTTTTAGTTCGCTGTTTTTTATGTACACTGTACAATTTTTTTTTGCGCTTAGCTCCACTTACCTAAAATTCGTTCAACATCTTCATCGGCGATGAATGCATCGTTGTCAACACCGGCGGGTGGTCGCTGTTCGCTAGCCAACGGATGATTATCCTGAAGTGCTTGTAGCTTACGTGAACCGCGTAAGCTGGCACGCAAAAATTCATTCTGTTGTGCGATGCGCTCCTCTTCCTCGCGTCGCCGCCGTAATTGCTCCTGAAATACAACAAAACAACCATTTTAATATGGAACACGAATTGAAACTAACTGCACAACAGTCAACGCCAACTTGCGTTTAACCCCTTAATATTTGATGCCTTTTTATTGGACTTTTATGATTTCATTAAATTTTCAAGCGAAACGTTTTTCACTCTCACGGGCGTCCCCACGTGCGGAAACTTCTATGTTTGTTTTTGTTATGCTCCCCTTTTGCATTGCTCTCGCCGAGCACATATCATCATTTATATACTTGCCTTGTACTGATCGATGCGCTGTGCATCATGACCGTAATACATATGGTTGTTAACACTTTTACCATTCGAAATTAAATGACCATTGTTGCCCGGGACATTATTATTGTTGATGCTATTACTACTAAATTGGCCATTTATTGAACTAGTTTTGTTCATCACCATTTTGGTGTGTATCTTTCACTCACTTTCCTTCGTTCTACTCGCAAATCTATTTAATTTTCCTCCTTATTTTTCTGCCCTTAATATTGCTCTTTAAATTTTCGAATGTTCTCTCGAAACGTTCTTTCCATCACGATTCACTACAGAAAAAAAATGCCGAAAGTTGTTTTCATTCACTAACATAAAACATGGCATGGATGGTGTGTGTGTGTGTGCATTTCAACTTGCTCCGAAAACATTGCGTAGTCATACCATTGGATTCTCGGTAAATTTGGAAATAAACTTATTTCCATTCTTGTGATATATGCTAATGAACCAATGAAGCACAGTTTCAATAAACAACACTGATGACTGAACTTGGACAGCGTAGGCTCTTGAATACGATGACGATAACGATGACCGAAATAATCGCTTACTTCGATCTGTCAAAGTGAAAAAATGAACTTTCAGAAAACAAATAAAAGACTTTTCTAGCAGTGTGTTGTGTGTGTGCACAGCACACGCCCATTTTCGTTACTTTCAAAACCAGTCGAGCGATCGGTGTGCGTTCATTAGCGGAACGATTGTATGAGAATAGATGCAAATCGTCAAGAAAGTTTTTATTTTTTTGAATTAATTAAATAAAACTCTAAAAAGAATCGAGTTAAACTGGATTCGAGCTACGAATTTTTTTCTTTGATTAGCGTTGTACATTACTATCGAAAATACGCATTCGTGCGGCTTTTGCACCTACTACGAACCTAAATAGATGATTCGTTTGTGTTCATAATGAGCCGCTGTGAATATTGTGCATGAATTAAATCAATGTAAGAGTGTTGCCGGTTTTATTTTATTATCGTTTTGCTACTGTTTTATGTTGAAAAAATGAGCTCATACCCGAACAACTTAATCTGATAAAAAATTCAGAGTAAGCCGTACAACCGATGCATCTAATGCCTTACATTTGTGGTCGTTGAAGTGCTTGGCTTTTGAGTGGACGCAAGAAAATAGCACATTTATCGCTATTTGAAACTCTAAATCCATTGACACACATTTGCTCACGATAAATTCTCTGGCTCATACAATTCATACATAGCCACCGCCAAGCGAATGCATGTTATATCGAGCAGAGCATTATCGAATGCGATCGAGAGAGAGCGAGAGAGGGAGAGAAAGACAGCCCAGAAAAAATGTTTATTTAATTGATTGGCTTAAACCATTGGCCGGTACGCGTGAAAAAATTCGATTTTCTAAATGTCGATAAATTTCTTTCGACTTCATTCGTTGAACCGCAACAAATATGGCAAAGCATTTACATAAAACGGCTAAATCGACAACATTTCAACCGGAGTGAGAGAGTGAAAGAGGGAGAGAAAAAAACGGGAGTTTTTGCATTTGTAAACGTCGATGGCTAACACTCAGCTTGGTTAGCAAAAATGCAGAGATGTTAATTTGGAATATATGAATTTGAATTAGCCGAAAATGCCCAAATACACTCACGTTTCATAGACATGTTTATGGATATAACTAGCTCTAATGAATACACATCGCCAAACAGAATGCCATGCAATGCCATGCCGTGCCGTACCGAATACGTCGGCAAATAAAATGACATAAACTGCAAATAGTTTATTTTAATGTGCACACCGTACACCGCGTAATACTTTGATGCATTGTGCATAACTTGAAACACTCGATGTGCCGATGTAAAATAATACATATTTGCATAAAATTTGCCATCCAGGTAATTGAATGCGAAATGCTAAACACACACAAATAAATATGAATGGATGCAAATGTACTTAAATTCAATTTTCCGAATGTCGACAGACATTGGCAGCGGCGGTGAGTGATTCAGTTTCAACGATATTTGACCACAAATCAAATCAATAGATTGGTTTGTAAAGTGCTATTTTGACCTTATTCCTCAAATTTGACACAGTCCATTAACGCATTTCACCCTGTCGAGAGTCAGTCCACTTAACGGATTGTTTTGTTTAGCCTGTGAATACACAACATGTGCCCCTCGTACGTATCGCAATTCAATCGAAATGCTAAATGCTTAGAGCATTTCATATTTCTGTTTCTGTTTCAATTGACGTTTCGTACGGCTGCGATTTACGAATGTTATTAATCATAACCAGTGACTTTTTCAAGCCTTGCAGCGCCAATTTGGCGCCATTATTTCCAATAAAACAATTCGCTTTTTCTCTGTCTTCAAAGTCGCGAAGCATGGACATTTTATTACCACAAGAGACAAGAGAGAAAAAAGTGTTGAGAAATCACATGATCACGAAATATTCCAGTCATCATTGTTAATAACAACGATCATAAGTCACAAATATACAAATCGGTTTTGTCTGTCACATTTTTCATTGTTTATTATTCGTTTTATTTCATTTTCGACTTTCTTGTTTTGTGAAATACATATTGATCACATGGGCTAGCCCGTATTGTGTCACGTCAGGAGGAATAGCTTTTTATTTGCTTGCAATATGTCATCTTTGGTGAGCTCACGAAGTGGTGTGGTTTAATTAGCGCTCTAGCGAATACATTGCATTCGAAACAAAGCACAGTCATATTCACGTCCATTTTGGATATTCGTGGCTCGGTTTATATGCAAAAACAAAATTCAATGAATATTTTTGCATGGAATTTCAATTAGTTATATTCGAAATGTTCGTATTTTTCGTTATATTGGCATTCAACTAATGTTTCCATATCGGTATTTCCAAAAATTATGTTCGTTGCTTTATGAAATTTACTTGACAACATAAAACCACAGTGAAATTTATTGAAATCTTATGCACATTTATTCACTCAAATGTATTAAAATCAAAAACAAGCTGCAACGATTAAATTCCAATCATTCAATTGCTCTCTGCCAAACAAATCCAACAGAATTTTTTTCGCCTACATTCAGAATGCAATTCAGTCGAAACACATAATTTTTTCACACTTTCTTTTGCTGGATTTCTTTTTTCTTCGTAGTCGTCGTCATTTTTTTTTGGGTGTAGTGCATTTTTCAAGTGGATTTCGTTTACGAACGGCTGGCTAAATCGGTTTATTGCGCAGTAAACCCAGACAGAAATCAAATATCACTCGATACGGCACGGCTTAGCCGAATCATAATCATTTTCGCAACTCTTTCATGCGATACTTGAATTGAATTTTTTCTTCATGCCTAAAAACTTGTTGTATACACGTTATTGCTATGTATATATATACTTTTTTGACGAACCATTGCACTTTTTGGCACATACTCATATTCACTTCACTTCTTTGAATGCGCGTCTGAATCGTGAACATTCGTTGAAATGGGAAAAAAAGACGAAGAAAAAGAGAAAAATTGAAATATGCAATTTAAAGTCGGCAGCGTAGTAAGAGAGTTTTCCTCCGAACTGCTGTTATTGCTGCTCATATCTTTCAGCTGCAGACGTCGACTTATGCAATGGTTGATTCGTAGATCGCTGAACGAACACATACACACATAGAGAAAGAGAGAGAGCGGGCGGACGAGCAAAAGAGCGCGCCTTTTGATGATTACGATGGATGACACAGATAGGCAATGCACCAGCATCCCCGAATGGGGAGAGTTCACATGCAAATGTATTTAAAATTCAGCATCGAGATAGACCGAAAGAGAAAAATGCAAACACACTCACACACACACACAGACTCAGTGGGTAATTAAACCTTGCAAATGATTAGTTTCCATTGATGTTTGCGTCATTGCATTTTGATGTTGTGAATGATTTATTCGCGATATTGCATGGAGCGCAATAGGCTTTTAGAGCGATGCTTTTCAGTCTCGACACAACACTTGAAACCATATCAACTGGCAATGGATTAAAACTAAACTATTGCAAAGTGCTCGTAGCTATCGACTCTGCTATGGATGTGCACAACTTGAGGCTGTGAAGTGAAAAAGCGAACTGATTCATGATTCTGATGTTCAATAATCACTGTTGAGATAGTAAACGAATATGCAGGTAAACACTAAAGTAACACGAAACACTCAATGGAGTGAATTGCGACTGTCGAATACAGCAACGATGCGCTTTTTGAAAAAAAAAAAATGGAAATCTTTCGATGAATTCACACTGTGTCGCTTCTATTTTTGTGTACCTCATCGATTTTTGTTGCCTCCATTCAAATGCCAACTCATGTATTGCCGAAGGATTTAGGTCGAAAACTGTGAAATCCAGAACTTTTGTTATCGGTTTTGTCACACGAAAATCACTGGAACGATTATCGATTGATGTGAATTTCTAACGAAAATCGCTGCTTAAATGGCAAATAATCATAGCAATCACGCGATATTCCGTAATAAGCTAAAAACGAAGCCAAGCGAATCAAAGAGTGTGATGACGAGTTTCGTGCACATCAAACAAACTGATAACACAGCCTTGAGCTGTTTTATTCGATTTTTTTTTTTCATTATTAGTCAGCCACAACAAATCTTCTTTTATTATATTTCTTTGCTTGATAATAGATTTATCGTAGATAATAGACATTCCATCTTTTAAGTTTGAACATGCTCGTGCATACTTCAGAAAAAATGAAAATACCGAGAGAAAGGAAAAAAAAATATGATATGTATGT